CCTTTCTGACTGTCCTCACTTCTTGTCTGGATATACTCATTCATTCATCATTTACCAAATGTCTATTATCTGCCACCAACAGGGCTAAACCTTCATCCTTACTCTTATGAAGCTCACATGATATTCAGTAGAGCTGTTATCTGCCCATCTCAATCACCAGACTGCAAGCTTTAGCAAAGGCTTTGTATTTCCAAATCCTAGCAGCATCTGGCACACAGCAAACATTCTAAAAATGTTTGTTGTGTGAAACCAGATTACTTTAGCAAGTTTTTTTTTAAATCCATAAATATTTTAGTACAGTATACATCTTCCAAAAGGACTTTTGCTTGACTCTACCAATCTGTCTAAGCCCAGAAAGTCCTAATTCCTCCCCAAAGTGTTCTCACTGCCACAGCTAATACCTTCTGCACCTCTTCCAACTCCTATCTCACACCTAGGCTCTTTACCACAGGAGTAATAGTTAGGTACACACAGTCTCCATTAGCAGAGAATAGTTCTACTATTAAAAAGGCCTTTCATAATAGATTACCTGACACCCAATTCTGTAGTAAACCCAAAATGCTATAAATCTTTGGACCTGAAAGTCCTTGACACACCTATTATGATCTGTTGGGGAATATTTTCCCAAGAGACCATAAACCTCTTGAAAACATGAATCATATTTTTGTTATCTCTTCCTCAACTCTGTTCTAAGCACATAAATGGAATTTTCATAGGGTTGCTGGTTAATGCCTTTATGGATGAATTCACTGAAACACTTGATAAATCTTTAATGAAGAAAAGTCTAGATTTCAAGTTTTAGCCCTGGGTCTGTTGACCTTGGACAAGCTTAGCATGAAGGCTGTAAAAGTGAGTTTTAGCCAAGATCAGTTTGGCTCAATGGATAGAGCGTCGGCTTGGGGACTGAAGGGTCCCGGGTTCGATTCCGGTCAAGGCCATGTACCTTGGTTGCGGGCATATCCCCAGTAGGGGGTGTGCAAGAGGCAGCTGATTGATGACTCTCTCTCATCGATGTTTCTAACTCTCTATCTCTCTCCCTTCCTCTCTGTACAAAATCAATAAAATATATATATATTTTAAAAGTGAGTTTTAACTCAATGACTTGATGCCTCTTTTCAGCCTGAACAATGTATGATTTTATGTAATGTTCCCATGTTGGACATCTTATTCCATTATATTTTCACTAGAGGCCCGGTGCATAAAATTTGTGCATGGGCGTGGTCCCTAAGCCTGGCCAGCAATCTAAGTGCAACCTCTGGCATGGAAGGGCAGGTCCCAGCTGACCTCTGGGTCCTGGGCAGCACCTGGACCCTGTGGCCCCACACGTCCCCCTCTGTCTGAGTCACTGTGCCCAAGTCCCCATGCGGAGATGTGGTGAGCATAGCTGGACACTGTGGGCTGGGGCACAGAGTGGGCCTGTGGGCCACCAGGTGTCAGCACGCTCTCTCCCAGCTGGCCTTGTAGACTGGCTCCTGCGCAAACCCATGGGGAGCCCGACTGGCCCCTGGGTCCTGATGGCTTCGGCCCGGCTCATCTAGAAGACGCCACATGAGTGCAGGGTGGGCTCCTTGCGGGCTCCCAGTACCTAAGCGCAGGGGCTTCCTCAGTGCATGAGCCCTGGCGTCTTGGGGGAGGGTAGCAAGGGGATTGAGAGCAAGCTTGGCGGACAGCCCACATTCTCATCACACCTCCATCCCTGTCCCGTCCATCCCCAGTCCCCAGGTAGCCAGTGAGAGGTTGCAGAGTGTCACCAATGCCTGCCATGTTCCACTCCACCCGCTGGTGGTTAGCGCATGTCATAGTGAGCGGTTGAACTCTTCTGCATGCCAGCCTGATCACCCTCTAACCATTCCCTTGCCAGCCTGATTGTTGCCTATCTGCTCCACCAGCCTGTTTGCCCCTAATTGCCTTCCCCTGCAGGCCCGGGTCTTCTTCAACTGCCCTTCCTACAGGCCTGGTCACCCCCAACTTCCCTTCTCTGCCGGCCTCGTCACCCTAACTGCCCTCCCCTGCAGGCTTGATCACCTCCAACTGTCCTCCCTTGCAGACCTGGTCCCTCCCAAATGCCCTCCCCTGCTGGCCATCTTGTGTCCACATGGGGGCAGCCATACTGTATTGGAGTGATGGTCAATTTGCATATTACTCTTTTATTAGATAGGATTATTAGATAGGATAAAGGCCTATGTACAGATGGGGTCAGGCTGGTTTGCCCTGAAAGGTGTCCCAGATCAGGGTGGGGGTTCCCTTGGGGCATGGGGCAGCCTGGGCGAGGGGCCTATGGTGGTTTGCAGGCTGGCCATGCCCCCTGGCAACCCAAGTGGAGGCCTTGGTATCTGGGATTTATCTTTTATAATTGAAACTTTGTAACCTTGAGCAGAGCCAAACCTCCTGCTCTCTCCGTGGCTACAGCCAATTTTGTTGGGATTTATTCATCTTCTATAATTGAAACTTTGTAGCCTTGAGCAGAGGAGGCCAAGGCAGGCCAGGGTAGGCAGAAAGGTTGGCTTCCTCCATTGCCAGGGAAACCCAAGCCTCTTGCTCTCTCTGTGGCTGCAGCCATCTTGGCTGGGTTAATTTGCATACTCGCTCCTGATTGCCTGGCTGGCGGGCATGACTTGTGGATGTAACAGAGGTATGATTAATTTGCATATTACTCTTTTATTAGATAAGATTATATAGGATATTGCTTTGCTTGTAATGCTATTATGGCAATTTTTAGACCTGACTTGAGTTACAATTAGATATGGTGTTTCCAAGTTAGCTAGCAAGCTCTTTCAACAGGAACCATGTTTTATTAAATGGTGAATCTTCCACCATTCCTAGCATCATGTCTTCCACATAAAAGCTTCATATATTTGCAGAAAATTATTTGGAAAAACTCTTAAAAAGCCTCATTTATGTAGAGAACTTATGTACAGATCTGCTATCTCCCCAAGGGCGCTTTTGAATATTTATTATTATAAATAGTATGAAATGGTTTATGGTAAAAATTGTGATTACTCTGGTAGCACCACGGGCAGTCAGCCACAAGAGGCAAAAATGTAAAAATGAATCTAAGCATTTAGAGACAGACTAAAAGACCACAAGCCTCAGGCTATCTTACTAAAGATGCAAATAAAAACTGCTCTGTACACTTACACCTACTCCAGTGTTGGGGTTAATAAACAAGCTTCTTGATGAGGACCCTTATCTGCAAATTTTTAGAAACAGGGTGAACTAGAGATCTTTGAATGGTGAATCTAAAAGAAAGGATATCACAGGGGGAAAAAAGATTACCTTTTTTCTTTTCTTCTTTCTTTTTATTATATCTATGAGAGATAAATGTTAGCTAAACCTATTGTGGTAATCAATAATGTAAGTCAAATCATCATGCTATACGCCTTAAATTTATAGAGATATATGTCAATTATTTCTCAATAAAACTGGAAAAAATAACATAAAGGCAGGGACAGCAAAGAGAAATTGAAGGGCTAGTAGGAAGTACAGAAAGGTGGCAAGAAAACATCACTCGGAGTAACGAAAATTCACCAAGTCTTTGCCAAAGGCCTACTATGAGCTAAGCACTTGAAGCTGCAAAGATAGTCCCTGATCTCAAGGGGCTAATAGTTTCATTGTGTTTGTGAGCAATTCTAACTGGAAGGTTTCACAGAGAAGCTGGTGAGTCAGAAGAGCTCTAAAGTGTTAAAAGGAATTTACTAAGGAAAAAAAAAAAAAAAGACAGTTTGAATTTAAGTTCGTTATTTTGGGGAGGAAGCATCCACATGCATTTACAGCTGTTCCTCTTGGGACTTTAAATCATGGTAGCTTCTTATATTCAATGGCACTCTGTCAATGCTCTTTCTCTTCTTAATTTAAATACTAAGATGTTCAAGCCCAATATTGGACTAGAGCCAAAAGTCCCAGAATGAGGTGAGTGCTCGCCAAAATCTGCCCTGTCACCTCCACATCCAGCCAGCCCAGCTAGCCCAGTCCTGCTGTCCTGGCAGCCAGGAAAGGAAGGCTAATTATATCCTCTGGGGGCAAGGCGAGGGGGGAAATCTGGATGCAGGCTTACCAGGCTTACCCCAGTTCTGCCAGTAAGCCACCAGGGGAGAGCTTCCCTACTGCAAGCCATAAGGCGCTCCTAGTCTACCTGTGACAGGGAGGCCAGCTCTGCAGGGGGAGAGAGGGGGGAAGGTGCATGAAAAGAAAGGAAGGAACGCACTGGACTGGGGAATGCTGAGGTTATTGAGATAATCTTAATTACATGTTCAGTAAGATCCCAGGCTCTTAGTAACAACACTATCATTATTATAACAGCAGCACCTCCATTGTACTTCAACAACAAGAAAATACAGTGGTTTGTTTTTTTTTGCAGTCTTTTATGACGCTGAAGAAGCAAATCCAGAGACAAATGCATTTCAAATTATTTTAAAGGTTCAAGATCAAATTCCAACTGTCCTGGCCAGAGACCCTGAGGCGAGAGCCAGTCCTGCCTCCGGCCGGCCAGCCGCGTGACCTTGGGCAGGCACTTCCCCCTGTCTCAGTTTCCTCATCTGTCAGGAGGGGCGACGAGGCCCCTTCCTCGCGGGGTCGCGCCACAGGGGGGATTCTTTGTTGCCTAGGAGACGCACGCGTGTCCCCTCCTTGGCTCCGGGCGGCCGGGATGGATGGTGCCCGACACCGAGGCATGCCGCGGCCCTGCCGGAGCGAGAGAGGGGGTCGCGCCTGAGGTGGGTGCCTGCAACCGCGGGAGCCGGGCGTGGTGGCCGGCGGCCCCGCCGCAGGGCCCGCAGCCTGCGCTCCGGGAGCGCCCGCGGGAGGCCCGGCCAATCCCGGTCCCGCGAGCTGGGCGGGCGGGGGGCGCCGGGGGAACCCGGAGAAACCCGGCAGCGCGCACCGGGGCCCCAGCGTGCAGAGGAGAACGGGTAGGGCAGGAAGAGGCAAGGGGAACGACGCCCCCGAAAGCAGCGCAGCCCCCGCGAGCAGCGCCGCGCGTCCGGGCGGAGGCGCCCACTCACCTGAGGCGCCGGTCCCGCCGTCAGTGCAGCAGCGGCTGTGGCGGCGGCGGCGGCGGGGGGCGGGGGAGGCTCTGCGCCGCGCAGGCGCGCTGGGGCTGCCGGGCCGCGGCGTGGGGCCCCGCCCACCCCGGGGACTACCAAGATGGTGGCTGGGCCGGGACGCCTCGCGGTGCCATCTTGGATGTAGTTTCTCCGGCTGAGGGGTCTCCTTGGGAGAACCTTGACCAGGACTCGCCGGAGGGAAAGGCGTTGAGTGCCGCCCCTTCCCTTCCGCAGGTCAGCCTTGTGAAGCCCCTCAGGGCCCTTGTGGCGGAGCCTGGCATCCTTCCACGTGGGCCCAGAGCATTGGTACCCGCGGTCACGTGGCACCTGGCACCGCGCTGAGCCCGGGGAAGGGGCTTGGCAAGTAATGGTGAGTGAGCACAGCACTTTAAAGGACTGCAATCCAAGACTCAGTCCTCCATTGCATCACTATGACAACGGCCTACTGTACCATCTCCTTTTTGGAGTGGTGCAACATGAGAAATGGACTTATTTTTTTCCAAATAACACATAGTAAGCTTCAATGACCCAACTTAAGTAATACCAAAATGTGCAGGGCCAGGCTAGATCCCTTTCCCAAAAGATTTATAATTTAGTTAATCTTGTGAAAATGAACAAAGAGAAACCTCATTTTAAATGGCGTGAGGAATGCCAGAAGGGAGCTTTCAGACACCACCCTTCAACATGAAGTACAGATCCTAACTGCGAAGAATCTTTAGTTACCAACCTCGACAGAAAGAGATGCACCTTGCAGATTGATATTACTTAAAAAAAAAAAAAAAAAATTCAACCAAGTAAATGTGAAGAACTGGCATTATTAAGTGGTTCATGAATCCAGCAGCATCCCATCTAGCAACCAGAATACTCCATAAGGTTGTACAAAATGGAAGGTTTTTATAGGAAGAAGGGTGAAGCAAGGGAGTATTTAAAAGAGAAGAGGCCAGCTGGTGTGGTTCAGTGGTTGAGGTCAACCTATGAACCAGGAGGTCATGGATGGATTCCCAGCCAGGGCACATGCCATGTTGTGGGCTTCATCCCCAGTAAGGGGCTAGGGTAAGGTGACCAGATCGTCCAGGTGTTGGCGGGACAGTCACGATTTCTAACAATTTTTCCTGCGTCCCTCGGCATTTTAAAAAAGTCCCGATTTTTGGAAAGAATCTTTCCAATGTTTCCAAAAATAGGGACTTTTTTAAAACGCTGCGGGAAAAATTGTTAGAAATTAGGACTGTCCCGCCAACACCTGGACGATCTGGTCACCTTAGGCTAGTGGGAAGCAGCCCATCTATAATTCTCTCACATCATTGATGTTTCTATCTTCCTCTCCTCCTTTCCTCTCTGAAATCAATAAAATATATTTTAAAAAATGAAGAAACATCAATGATGAGAATCATCAATCGGCTTGCAATCTAGACATGTGCCTTGACCAGGAATCAAATTAAGTCTGGTTCATAGGTAGACTCTTAACTACTAAGCCTGCAACCCAGGCACGTGTTGACCAGAATTGAACCAGTGACCTCTCGGTGTATAGAACGTTTCCCAACCGAGCCACAACTGCCAGGGTGACAGACTTTTAACATATAAGTTACAATGCCTACAATATTCCAGACACTGAGCAATTCACTCCACTCACCCACTGCCATCATTTCCAATCTATACTACTACAATAGACTGGGGTCTCTCACATCCGTACCTTGCTTGCTTCTATCTATTCTCCACATAGCAACAAGAATTATCTTTTAAAAATAAAGCTGATCCCATCTTGCTCTTGAAACCTCCTAATGACTTCCAACTCTTTCTCAGGTGGCTCTTCCACTGGCATCAACATTCCCGCTTTACTGGGCCTTTTCTTTAGCTTTCTTCTCTCCCTTCTCAGGCCTTTGGAAATACTGTTCCTTTTGCCTCAAAAATTTGCCCTATTTAACTCCTTTATTCTTCTTGAATCAACTAAAACATCATTTCTGCAGAGAACTTGTCCCTTCTTGTTCCCTGTGTGTCCATTAGACTGTGAGAATCATGAGAGGAGGTCCCATGTTTGTTTTTGTTCTTTGCTCTCTACCCATTAACTAGAATTGTGCTTGGCATATAATAGCAGGGTCTCTGTAAATATATGAAAGAATAAGGAATACTATAGGTCAATGCAAGGAGATATCACCTCTCATTAGCTGTGCTTAGTCCAAAGTTTAAGATTTAACATTATAACTAGGCATTTAAATGAAATAGGTTTTATCTTATTAGGAGGATCAGAGAATAAAACAATAAATTGGTTGGTATTTTATCTAGCTAATGCCAAGGCTAATCTCTACACTACTGTTCACTTTCACAATTGGTAAAGAATCTTATTTTCTAAGACCTCCCTAACTTTTTTTTACACTCAAAATACACAAAAAGACAAGGGAAAATTTTTAATTATGTACAATTTTATAATGCAGATTATTAAATACAGAAAACAATGAATCCAAAATTTAGGATGTTGACTCAATACTGAAGCACATTATGAGCAGTAGAACTTAGAGAATGGGTAGTATTTTCTCAATTTGGACATCCTGTGAAGTGATATACATATCCACCTGATATAATCAATGCCCACAACTTTTATACCTAAACTCATCCCAAGTCACACTAGAAAATTAGTCTCATTCCTTTATAACCAGAACCCAATTGACCTCTAAAATGTTTCATTGGATTTGATCCCAATGACTTAGGATGTTTTAAAACTTGAAAAACATCTACACAAGATGAAGAAATGTGATCACAAAGAATATTTAAAACACTAACTACTAATTCTAAATGTCATTCCAAAACAAAAATTTTAATTATCTTGCACATTCTTGGGGAAAATGTCCATACAACATTCTTTTGGATACAAAAGTGTTGTAACTTTTTTTAAATTGGTTTTAGAGAGAGGGAGGGAGGGAGGGAGACAGAAAAACACTGCTATGAAAGTGAAACATCCATCAATTGCCTCCGGTGCATACCCAGATTGGGGATCAAACCTGCAATCTGGTATGTGCCCTGACCAGAATTGAACCCATGACCCTTGAGTGCACTGGACGATGCTCCAACCAACTGAGCTACACCAGCCAGGACAATGTTGTTAGAACAACAACAAAGTACTCTTCAGTCAGCCAATTATCCTCAAAGGCAACTATCACCAGCTTAGATTGCCACGCAATCACCATGTGCTGGAGCATTCTTTCCACGTCTCTCCTCTAGAGCACCTTGTGACACGAAGATGCATAAGGTCACTGACAAGATTTAGAACAATGTGCAGTAGGCAGGTTTTGTAACTGAAGCTTGAGCAGTTTTCGAGCTGGTGAAGAATCTAATTGTTGCGCACTCCTCTTGCCTACAAAGGAAAGGAGCCAAAAAATAAATTTCAATTGAATTCAAATAAGATTTATTGCAAACTTACTGCATGAACACTGTGCCAGACTAAAGGGCATTACAATGACAAATAAAAATCTCTGTTCTCAAGTAGATGACAGCTGGTAGGAAAGCCAGCTATAACTACAACCAAAATACATTGTAATAAAAAAATGAAGGTATGTATAGCAATAATTTAGATCTGGAGTAAGTAAGGGCAGTGTCGGTGAATTTTTGAGGAATGAACAGGAGAAAAAAGGCAATGGGTATTTCTTAAATCTCAGATTTACTAAAATAAGATGGTTTATGGGAATTTAATTCTTAGTCTACTGTGTTTCTGTGGAATTTCCCATCAAATACGAGTATCCACAACATAATAGTTACTGTGAAAGTGGAGGAAGGGGAACAAACCACTTGGTGTGGTCTTACCCTCTGAGACCACGTGCTAAGTAAGGGCAGTTTAAATCTGAAAGGTTATCCCTCTAGTCCAGTGGTTCTCAACCTTTCTAATGCCGCGACCCTTTAATACAGTTCCTTATGTGATGGTGACCCCCAACCATAAAATTATTTTTGTTGCTACTTCATAACTGTTAATGAATCGTAATGTAAATATCTGTTTTTTCTCATGATCCTAGGCTCTACAGCAGCGATTCTCAACCTGTGGGTCACCTAAGACCATCGGGAATCACAGATATTTACATTATGATTCATAACAGTAGCAAAATTACAGTTATGAAGTAGCAACGAAAATAATTTTATGGTTGGGGGTCACCACAACATGAGGAACTATATTAAAAGGTAGCGGCATTAGAAAGGTAGAGAACCACTGCTCCAATCCCCTCACAAGATACTTACTGAGTTGTACTGACATCTTCTGGAAGCACTGGGTACTTTCATCCATAAAGGCATGCAGCTGCTTCACTGATCCTTGCAATTCATCCATCTGCAGATGAAAGACAGCTATGAGCTGTAAGGGTTCACGGCTTCTTTGACGTTCCCTCAAACACACGGGGCAAGTCCTGCTTGGAAGCCTTGCTTTTGTTGTTCTTTCAACCTGGAATGCTTATGTCAGACATTCTGTTTGCTCCTCCAGATCCACACTCCACTCCTTCACACTGTTCTATACCCCAGAAGGCTGACCGAGATAACCTCTAACAGGATCCCATGCCCTCTGAGTTCTGAGTGGGCCTGGTCCAGAGGGAGCCCAAGTTAGGGGGGAAAGCTGAATGAGGTCTGCATATTTTTGCCCAGGCCTGCTCAGGAAAGGATCATTCTGAGTGAGCTGTGTCTCTTAACTGAAGATCATGACTCTCTCAAAACAGCCCACTACGGGACTTTCTCCACTCAGGTGCCACAGTAACTCTTCCTCCTCTCCTCCCGCAGGCCTAGGGGTAGTAAGAGCTCAGCTGCCCCATGTTCCTTCACTAACCCTTACGACTTCCCAATATCTACACTCTAAACATAGCCCCTTATAAACTCTCCTTAAATTACACTTTATCAACTGCTTCCTGCTGATACTCGGAACAATAAAATACTATTCTCCCAAATGTCCTCATGGCTCACTTCCTCATTTCTTTCCAGTCTCTGTTAAATGGCTCTTTAGAGAGACTATCAACAACTGTTCTGTATCGTATCCCACTGCCCTCCTGTACACTGTCTCCCTTACTCTGCTTTATTAGCACTAATCACCACATATTGTTTCTTTTAAATTGACTCTCCATGTTTCACCAAGGTAGAGTTAAAATACTTACCTTATCTTATTAAACATATTCTCCAGGTCTTTTTGTTTTCAAGGATAAGAAGGTAGCAAGGCTGGATAACTTAAACAAATATAAACTCACCACCAATTCCATACAATCAAAGACTTTGTTCTGGCTCTGTAATATTTTCTGGTAATCAGGCTTTGTATTAAGGACTTCATTCTGGGAAGACCCAAGATATGCTGTAGGTTCAACTTCAGTCATTTTTGTTTCAGTTGATCCTCTAAAAAAAGGGGGAGAGCTTTTAAAGAATTTTTATAATCACTTTCTGGGGAAAATAATGAAAGATCACCTAGGGAAAAAGCGTCCAAAAAAGCTTCATTAACCTGAAGCAATATTCTTCTTATTAACAGTGGGGTCCAAAACCATTATCTGGTATTGATTTTTTAATAAAGAAAATTTTATTTCATTAATTTTTAGAGAGAGGAAGGGAGAGGGAACGATAGGAACAATGAAAGGGGAACATCAACATCAACTAGTTGCCTCCTGCATGCCCAACTTCTGGGGATTGAGCCAGCAACCCAGGTATGTGCCCTGACCAGGAATTGAACCTGCGATCTCCTGGTGCGTGGGTCAACACCCAAACACTAAGCCACACTGGTCAGGCCAGTATTATTTTTTTTTTTTTTGAGGAAAAATTAAACCTTATTTATTTTTAATTTAAATTCTTTACTGTTTAAAGTATTACATATATCTCCTCCTCCCCCCTCCCCCCCGCATTGACCTCTCTCTGACGGTTCCCACTCCCAAACCTTATTTATTTTTTAAAACCAGACCACTGGGAAAATATATCACAGTCTTAAACAGCAAACAGACAGTCTATATTATCATTTCAAGTAGTAAGTTGGTAAAAAGACAACAAGGTCCTTATCAAAATGGTAAGGTGCTAGATCTGAGGTAGGAATACTGCAGGACCAAGGCAAAAGTGGTATTTGGTAATGGAGGGGAGGGCTGCCCCTCTTTTGCTCTAGTGAAGCAACAACTCACCCCTGAGTTGCTTACTTTTTCTCCTTTAACCTTCCTGTTGCCAAAAGATCATCTTAGTAGGGCTCTGTTATTTGAGGGGACTAAGTAAGCAATACTGGGTTTAGGTTTCATTCCTGAAAACCAGGTTTTTTAAAAAACTCCAGTACTTCATAACTTTTTTTTTTTTTTAAATATTAGAGATCCAATGCACAAATTTGTGCACCTTGAAAGGAACTGGTAGACATAGAGGCGTGTCTCAGCCCATCCTCTGTGCCCCTGGCTGGCCCCTCCTGCCACAGCACCCAGTCCCTCTCTGCCGACAGCTCCATTTCTGCCACTGCTCTCACACACTGAAGACGCTGGCCCGGTTCGTACCCACTGAAGGCGTGAAGTGATTGGGGCCGACACCAGCAACAGGTGCGAGTGGGGCTGGTGCTGTCAGTGGGTGTGAGCAGCAGCTGCTGCCCTGATCGCCCCTCAGGAGCAGGGGGAGGTGGAGAAGCTCTCAGGGGCGGTCAGAGCTGGAAGCCACTGCTCACACCCACTGAGGGTCCCAAGCGATTGATCAGGATTGGTGCTGAGCACTGGCAGCGGGTACAAGTGGAGGCTCCATTACCTGCAGAGGGTGCAAGTGGGGCCATCACTGGCAGTGGGTGTGAAAGGCGGCTGCTGGTCCCAATCTCCTCTCAGGAGTAGGGGGAGGTGGAGAAGCCCTCAGGGGTGATTGGGGCAGGCAGCTGCCACTTCACACTGATGGTGCCAAGTGATTGGAGCCAGTGTTGGGCACCAGCAGTGGGTGTGAATGGGACCAGTGCCGGCAGCAAGTGTGAGTACCCAGCAGGAGTGCAGCGTGAGGAAGCAAATAATATTCAGTAACCACCAGAGGCTTTCCCTGATGACAGAGGCCAGTGCCCTGCCTAGGTCTTGCACCCTCGCTCACCTGCTCCACCATCCCGCAGCGGCCAATGCCCACCATGTTCTGAGCACTCCCCCTTGTGGCCAATGCATGCCATAGCAATCAGTTGTTCAGTTGTTCTGCCATTTGGTCTATTTGTATATAAGCCTTTTATTATATAGAATATTCTATTGATTTTTTTTTACAGAAAGGAAGGGAGAGGGATAGAGAGTTAGAAACATCGATGAGAGAGAAGCATTGATCAGCTGCCTCCTGCACACCTCCTATTAGGGATGTGCTTGCAACCAAGGTACATGCCCTTGACAGGAATCGAACCTGGGACCTTTCAGTCTGCAGGCTGACGCTCTATCCACTGAGCCAAATCAGTTAGGGTTTATTTCAGCTCCTCTCAACAACCAGCACTGCACTGGAACATGAGGCCCTGCATCTTCCAGATAGTCTCTTTCCAGACTCTTTACCATGGTGTCCACCGCCTCCTGCACCCAAAGCTGCTTCAGGTCCGCCTCAGCGACCCTGTGCTGCACTGCGCCTCGATGGCATCTACATGGACTCGATTAACTCTTTTACACCACTGGACACCAGGAAATGCTAGAAGCTTCGTGTCAGTTAATGCCATTTAACAGTAAGGTCCATTTACAAAAAGAACTACAGTTGGAATAGAGTAAAGCCAAAGCTTGTTATCCTTAAGTCAATGTCTATGATCTTCCACCAAAAAAATTCTAGGACACCTCAATTATCTAACTGAATATAATGGAGAGTTCATGAAAACTGATGACTCTTGCCGGACCGGTTTGGCTCAGTGGATAGAGCGTCGGCCTGCGGACTGAAAGGTCCCGGGTTCGATTCCCGGCAAGGGCATGTACCGAGGCAGCTGATCGATAACTCTCTCTCATCCATGTTTCTAACTCTCTATCCCTCTCTCTTTCTCTCTGTAAAAAATCAATAAAAATATATTTAAAAAAAGAAAACTGATGACTCTTTAATAAGAGCAACTACTACAATTTACTGAATGCCAGATATTGATAAACACTTTCCATTTAATCTCACTTAACACTCACAATAACCAAATGAGATAGTACTAATATTATCTCCATTTTTTAAAAGATATTTTTTATTATTGATTTCAGAGAGGAAGGGAAAGGGAGAGGGAGATAGAAACATCAATGACAAGAAAAAATTATTGGTTTGCCTCCTGCACGCTCCAAACTGGGGATCCAGCCTGCAACCCAGGCACGTGCCCTGACTGGGAATCAAACCGTGACCTCATGAAGCTCAACCACTGAGCTACATCAGTTGAGTTTATCTCCATTTTTAAATGAGGAACTTCAGGCTTAGAGATTAAGTGGCTTGCCCAATATCACAAAATAAAGTAGTATTAGGGTTTGAACAGAAGCAGTCTGCTTCCAGAAGCATTCCTCTTAACCAATAAGCCTGCCCCATCAAAACTGTTTATTCTGAAACTGCCATATCTTATACATTATGTCTTCATAAAGAGAACATGTCAGGGCTGAATAAAGTAACTGATAACCATCAATTCCTGCATTGGGAAAGTTTTTCAAACCGTATTCCTTAAAGCACCTCTCTTCTAAGAGGCCACTTTTGCAATTAAGAGTCTTAGCTACCATTTTATAGTTGGGTTCCTTCCTAAGATTCTGTTACTAAATAAAAATCTTGCACTTCCCCACTTTATTGTGCCTTTAAGACCCAGACAAAGATCCTCTCTTTCCATCACCCTATTTCATGTCTTTGCATTTCCACAAAGCCCTTGGCCAGGGTTCTCTCCCACACCTGCAGCGCAAAGGCCATGTGCCCACTAAAGTCCCCTGACTAATGTTTTTGGCCCAGCCCAGGATTCCAGGTAAAAGGAAGAGATGTGCCTGTCTCCACCAGGAAGTAGAATGGCAGCCAAAGACACAGAACACAGGCAACTCTGTTGACTGAATATAGTGATGCCAACTCGCTTCCTTTCCTTGACTCTCCATTTAAGGTCAGAGAGTGCTAATAAATATTTTACAGTGCTTTGATGAGTTGATTAGCCTATGAGATAAAATTCGTCATTCAATTTGTGTTAATGAAACTAAAATCCATTCAAATCAAACTCCACAAAGTGAAAAGATAGCTTCTGAATTCCAGTTGTAGATCTAACCTGGATAAGATCTCCTCAGCCTCCTTCTGATAGTGCAGCAAGAGTTGATCCCAAGTCTGACGTTCTAAAGAAAACCTATAGGATCCGAAAAAAAATTCTGTTAATTTTTGTTTATCTCATTCTGAATCACTCAGGGCACCAATAGTACATTAGGTATCTACTGTGTTCTAAGTTGTGAATAAAAAGGCCATTAAAGAATTATAAACCATGACTGATTTAGAGGATATTAATTTAATAAAATCAAACACACGTCCTTAAAATTAAATTAACATCCTTATTCCCTAGACTACATTCTATGAAATTGGCCATAAGCACAGACCATAAGACCCCAATATGCAGATAAGTTGTAGTGTTGTTAAACTAATATTGACACTCAGAACAGGATGTTCATTATTCATTTTCCCAAGTTTAATTATTTTCCCCAACTGAACTTATATTTTTTCAACAAAGGTTCATTCATTTTCACTTACTTTGTTATGTATTCCTTCATCTCAGCCACTGATGCTTCCAGAGACAAATCTGATGCTTTTCTGGAATACAGATAGCATTGTGTGATAAACACAAATCTTTCAAGAACTCTTGCTTTTAATATGGTAACTTACATAATTTCAAAAGGCAATAAAACATGTTCAGAATTTATCTTTTGTCCTGGCCGGTGTGACTTAATTGGTTGAGCAACGTCCTGTGTACCAAAAGGTCACAGGTTCGATTCCCACTCAGGATATGTGCCCAAATTTCGAGTTCAGTCCCCAGTAGGGGTGTGTTTGGGAGGCAACCAACCAATGTTTCTCTTTCACATCTATGTTTCTCTCTGTCTCCCTCTTTCTCTAAATATGAAACAAACAAACAAACAAAAAAAGAATTTATTTTTTGCCTGGCTGGTGTGGATCAGTGGTTGAGTGTCAACCTATGAACCAGGAAGTTAAAGTTTAATACCTGGCCAGGGCACATGCCCAGGTTGTGGGCTCAATTCCTAGTAAGGAGCATGCAGGAGGCAGCCAATCAATGATTTTCTCTCAACACTGATGTTTCTACCCCTCTGAAATCAATAAAAAAATAAAAGTGTGTGGTTTTTTTTTAGTTCAAAACCTAAAAAATAAAGTAAAATAGAAATGCTATATTAGATAAAAGAATTTATCTTTCAACAAATATTTATTTCTTAGTCTCTCACTTTTATATTAGATCTCTTCATCTTTTCTTTCATCAATGCCAATTCACACATAAAGCACCTTCCTTTAATTTCTTCCTTGCGTAAAAAGTCTGTGACCCTCTACTGCATTCAGAAGAAAAGCAAAACCTCCTTAATCTGGTACTTAAGGATATCTGTTCTCATGCCATCCAGTTCATTAATTTTGATTCCTACTGTTACCTTTTATCTATTCTGTCCCATATAATCTCACTCACCCTGACCCTGAATATCTGGGGTTTTCAATCTCTAAACTTCTGTTCACATCAGTTTTTAGTGTCTTTCCCTTCCACCAATAAAAACCTTAACATTTTTTAAGGCCCAACAATACTTTTTCATATGACTGTCTTGTCTTCCTCCTTAAACTAAAGCTATCGCTGTACAGGGGACTTACACCAATGGCTCAGCACCGCTGAATGACTAATCCTAATGGAAAGCACTGAAAATGCCAAAATTTTGCAAATGTAATTGGTATTTTACCTGACAAAAACAAATGAATTGTTCTACCTTTCATGTTTTTCTACCAAGGCCTATGACACACAGCCTCTATCAATGCTGGCTGAGATGCAACAGCTTATGGCTTAAATTCATTGCATTAAAAGAGACACTATGTTAAGTCAAATTTTGTTTGTTTTTAGCACTCAAAAAGCCTTTGTTTTTATTTAGCTTTCTGATTCTGTGCTTGTGCCTTCAACACTTGCACAACAATTTTCTGCTCCTCAATAAGGAAAGCACGTTTGATCCTGTCACAGGCAGGTTTAGCACACATGGATACACCATAAGCCCTGCTGGCATGTTTTTTCGTTTTAGACAACCTCATTAGAACTTTAGTTCTCACAGCACGAGCTTCACAAAGTTGCCTGGGCTCACACCTTGTGCATATTTTAGTGCTTTCCCAATCTTCTTGGTATAAACGATGGCCGAAACTGGTTTGGCTCAGTGGATAGAGCATCAGCCTGCGGACTGAAGGGTCCTGGGTTCGATTCTGGTCAAGGGCATGTACCTTGGTTGCGGGCATATCCCCAGTAGGGGGCGTGCAAGAGGCAGCTGATAGATGACTCATTGATGTTTCTAACTATTTCTCTCCCTTCCTCTCTGTAAAAAATCAATAAAAATATATTTTAAATAAATAAATAAAATAAAATAAAGGTAAACGATGTCTCGGGATTTGGGACAGCCTAGTTTTGTTAGAGGCTGTATTGTAGAACCATCTCTGGTGGTATGTCAAAAGTTGGACCATTCTGAATGCCTAAAGACTCCATCCCCAGAAGAATGAGTCAAAATATTTTCCATTACCCGAATACCAATGTTAAATTTAAGAACAGATGGAAAAGTAGATCTTTGCAAAGTCAAAACTAAAAAGTTTATGATGTAAGCTCTAGTGACATGATTTATTACAGGGCAGGGCTCCATACATATAGAGGAACAACAAGTTTAGGGGTGGGATTTCTAAATTCTCTCAATATTCTTGCTTGTAAAACAGCTAAAGAACACAAGTTTACAGTGGAACCTCAGTTCTCCAACTTAATTTGTCCTGAAAGGTTGTTCAAGAAGTCATTTAGTCAAAAGCCAAAAATTTTTCCCATAATGAGGTAGAGGGCTGGGGTGGGCTAGAAGGGGTTAATGGGGAAAAACAGAGAACGTCTGTAACACTTTCAACAATAAAGATTTAAAAAACAGGCAGCCGCGCCCGGAGGTCCCGGATCTGTCTCTTGCTTCAACAGTGTTTGGACGGAACAGACCCAGGGACGCCGTTCTTCCAGCCTCCGGCCACTCTCCTGTGTCTCATCCAGTCACCACTGTTAGCGCCACCTCCGGGACCAGCCGACACACCGGTTTTTTGGTTGTTTTGTGTGTTTTTTTCTACCTGAAAGCCTCATTACTGAACAACCATGAGCTCCCAAATTCGTCAGAATTATTCCGCCGACGTGGAGGCTTCGGTCAACCGCCTCATCAACCTGTACCTGAAGGCCTCCTACAACTACCTCGGGCTGGGCTACTATTTCGACCGCGACGATGTGGCCCTGGAGGGCGTGGGCCACTTCTTCCGCGAGTTGGCGGAGAAGAAGCGGGAGGGCGCGGAGCGTTTGCTCAAGTTGCAGAACCAGCGAGGCGGCCGCGTTCTCTACCAGGACGTGCAGAAACCGCCCCAGGATGACTGGTCCAAAACTCTGGACGCCATGGAATCCGCCCTGGCCTTGGAGAAGAGCCTGAACCAGGCCCTTCTGGAGCTGCACGCTCTGGCTTCCTCCCGCGCAGACCCTCACGTCTGCGACTTCCTGGAGAACCACTTCCTGGACGAGGAGGTGAAACTGATCAAGAAGATGGGCGACCACCTGACCAACATCCGCAGGCTGGCCGGCCCCCAGGCCGGGCTGGGCGAGTACCTCTTCGAAAGGCTCACCCTCAAGCACGACGACTAGGAGCCTTTGGCGCCCAGAAGCCTTTCAGCGGTCCCCGCCCGCCTCTGTCTCTGGCTTTCGCCTGAGCCTCTTCCCGAAACTACTAGCCATTCCTTTATCCACCCTGGAGCCCTCTCCCCGGCACGGGACCAAATGAAACAATAAAGCTTTTTGCAGCAAAAAAAAAAAAGAGAGATTTAAAAAACTTTTTAACCATTCCCTATTTTAACCTTTTTTAAATATTCAGTACCTGTCTAATGTACTGTTTTTCTGATTGTTTGTTTGTTGCCTCACCTGAGGATATTTTTCCACTGATTTTTAGAGAGTGGAAGGGAGGAAGAGAGGCACAGAGAGAAAAAGAAACAACACTGTGAGAGAGACTAATGGATTGGTTGCCTCCCGCATGTGCCCTGAAGTACGTGCCCTTGACTGGAATCTACCTGGGACCCTTTAGTCCGAAGGCCCAAACAACTTTTGTTAGAGAACCAAATTGTTTGAGATGGGAGACATTAGGAACTGAGGTTTGGCTGTTGCATGGCTAGCAAAAATTTGAAGAATGCTTTCCTTTCATCTTTCCACAGCTGGTTCCTTCTCGCCATTCAGGTCTAATAGGTCTCAATTCAAAGGTGAATTCAGTAGAGGTCTAGCTAACCTACCCCCTCAAGTCACTATTATTGACTTCTTAGATCACTTTCTAAATCATTGTATTTGTTTAACTGTATCTCCTATTAAAGTATATCACAATAAAATACCTTGTTTGACTTAGTTATTTATCACTATTTTCTCCAGCATCTAGAAGAGCCTGGTATGCAGAAGATGCTGAATAAATGCTTGATGAGTGAATGAACTGTCTAATTATAATAAAAAGCCTTAATTCAATTATAATTTAGGACAGAAGGGCAATTGAACTTACCCCTCTGAAACTTCAAAACATTTCTGTAGAGTTCCATTACTTTCCAGTCTGTCTGCAAAATGTTTTAATTCTTCAGAAAGAGAAGATGCTAGAGAGAATAAGACTACATGTTATAAACAGAATATAAATTTTCACAGGAAGCTCTGACAAAGACATAAAACACTTAAGGTAGTCTCAGCACTTCGGTCCCATCACATTCTGACCCTCTTACCTACTTTCAAAAAAGTGGTATAAATATGCAGAAAGACTGTATCTTTTTTTTGTAGATATACATAAAATGCAAGACGAGTCTTCTTTATGACATTTATTGATAGTGTTTTTTTTATATCTGACTGGTGAAAAAGCAGTTAAAAAGATATATCTGCACTGACATTTCATTCTTTTCAAGAGATTTGAACTGCTGGTGCTGAAAGGAAATGTATCACAGAAGTCAGGCAATAGGAAACAGTGTTATAAAAACATGTTGAAGGCAAATAAAGCATTATAAGCATAAGGTAAAAAGTTTTCTGCTTATACCTGGAAGAGTCCACAATTACATTCAGGTAAAGAATAAGGAAAAGGATGTTAAATAGCTATCAAGATAACCTTGACATATCTACTCTAATTATGGTCCAATTCTCAGATAATTTTAATTAACAAGTAAGTCTGAGATCATGCATTTGCTGGGTTTGACTCTGGATGATTGTGTAGTTACTGTAAGGAAAACAGCTACTTCCTAGATGGCTGAAAACTGACTCCTGGGAAAGAATATTTGTAACTTATATCACTGATGAACAGCTAATTTCCTTAACATAGAGAGTTTCTACAAATCAATATAAGCACCACATGCCAGCTTTCAAAAATGAAGGATTTAAACAGAAAATGAAGAACCTATGGTTCTAAATAATATTTAAAAATGTTTATCCTCCTTGAAAAACAAACATTAAAATTACAAAATACCTTTTGTCATCTGTAAAACACCTGAACTGTTTGATAAAACTGTATTGGTAAATGTGAAAAAATAGATATGCAAACAAATATATTTGCATATTTGCTGGTGAGAGAATAAAATGAAACAACCTTTCTAGAAGGCAATCTGGTAATTTTTATCTTTTGTTTGACCTATTTTATTGCAACTCTAGAAATTTATTTTTACTTGTATATGTGCCAAAAGGCATGTGTAAAAAGGTATTTGCCCTAGCTGGTGTGGCTCAGTTGAATGGAGCATTGTCCTGTATACCAAAAGGCCATGGGTTCAATTCCTAGTCAGGATACATTCCCAGATAGTGAGTTCAATCCCTGGTCAGGGTGTGTATGAGATAGCCAATTGAAGTTTCTCTCTCTCTAAAATCAATTTAAAAACATATCCTCAAATGAGGATTAAACAAAAAAGTATCCATTACCCTATTCATTTTAATAGCAAAAGACTGAAAACCCTAAAAGCCCACAATAAGAAAATTGGTTAAATAAAATATGATACATTTATAAAATGGAATATCATGTGGCTACCAAAGTGTCAAGATAGCTCTACATGTGCAGTATGGAATAATCTTACCTAATAACAGACAAACATGTAAACTGACTCTATCTCCGCTATGCTCACAGCCAATCATGAATGACTATGCAAATTAACCCACCGTCTTCGTCATGTTAATTTGCATAAGAAGGAAAGGAGCAGCCAGGCGGGATGCCAGCTATGAGTGGGAGGAGGTGTGCGGAGGAGCTACAGGAGTGGTGCTCTGGCTGGGAGTGAGGACTTGGCGGCTGCCCGGTGGCTGGGAGCGAAGCCAGGAAAACGAAGGCCTAATTCTTACACAAATATTGTGCAACCGGCCTCTAGTCTTCTGCAATATAAACTATTAGGGGAAAAAAAAAAAAAAAGACAAGGAAAAGAACAGTGCAGATAGTATTACTTGATTTTAATGTATAATTGTTTGCAAATGCAATATCTCTGCAATGATACACAAGAAGCTGGTGGCTGTGCTTGCCTCTGTGGAGAGGAGCTGTGACTATGGTTTAGAGTGGAGGGCAGGCTTACCTTCTGAACTTCATTAGCATATATTATTATTATTTTCTTAACCCTCACCTAAGGATATGTTTTTTTTTAAATATATTTTATTGATTTTTCACAGAGAGGAAAGGAGAGGGATAGAGAGCTAGAAACATCGATGAGAGAGAATCATCGACCAGCTGCCTCCTACACACCCTCTACTGGGGATGTGCCCGCAACTAATGTACATGCCCTTGACTGGAATCAAACCTGGGACCTTTCAGTCCGCAGGCCGATGCTCTATTCACTGAGCCAAACCGGTTTTGGCGAGGATATATTTTTATTGATTTTTGAGAGAGAGGAAGGAAGAGAGAAACATCCATCGGTTGCCTCTAATGTGCACTCCAACTGGGAATCAAACCTGTAACCTTTTGGTGTATGAGATGATGCTCCAACCAACTGAGCCACCCTACGAGGGCAACATATATATATTTTACGAGGGCAACATATATATATTTTAATGCCATCCCAAGGGGGGCTGGTTTTGTAAGGTAGCAGCTTCTGTAAATGGGGATCCTAAAAGTGGGGCTTCAACTGACTTTAACAGAAGGTACAGTTCAAGATCAAAGCTCACTTGCCTATTTTGAGCAACTTACCTTTGGCTCTAAAACTTTCAAGACTGAAGCCCTCTGTGCCCTTTAGGAAAGGTTCAAGTTTCTGAACAGAGAACTAAATAAAGAAAAGCATTTTTAGTACAATCAAGATTTTCCAGGCCAGTCCCAACAAAGCTCATATAATTTTACAGGCTTAATAAATGTGAAATAATATTAATTAATTATATAATGCTGACTTAGTATGTAGTCAGACCTCCAATGTCTGTTTGAATTTAGATTTTGACCTACTCCTACTTTAAATTATCATTATTCCCTGTCATTTGTTGCCAATGGCAAGAGATATTAGATTGGGGAAACCTCTCAGCAACAATACCAATGGGATAAAGAGCCTAGTCCAGACAAAATCAGCTGCTAGGATTATATCTGGCTTTTAAATTAATCCAAACTAGAGAGAAACATCTTTTAATTTTAACAGATGAATTAACAGTTTTGATCTCTCTTTGGGACTCTCACAGCAACAGCTTACAAAAAGCATTTCCCAGTCCCGAAAATCTCACCTGGAAACTGGAAAGCAGGAGAGAGCCAAGCCGTTTGCTTTCTGCTAGGTCAACGCTGATGGATTTGCTGAGCTCTAACATAAAATATCAATTTAAGAAGTGGTATACTCACAGTTATCAAAATAAAAAAACCTGTAAAATTTCCTCTCTCTTGATGCAGTCTATTTTAAGGCAAGAATGCTCAAGCAGCCTTCTTTATTTAAGGGAGAATTCATATTAGTCACATCTGATTTTTTTCAGGTTCAACGAGAAATGAAATTTACCCATTTGTGCATTCTAGCTTTAAAAAGTTATAAGAACCTTATATGTATTACATTAAAACCTTGTCTTATTAAACAAGATAGGTACATAACATTTTTTGATGTTTTATATTCACCATTCAAAGAAAGGAGATGGAAACATTTGAACATTTTTATGACAGGTACTGCAGTATGCTTGAAATACATTGTCTTAAGAGTCCTCTCATAACCTATGAGCTCCTTTTTACAGGTGTGGAAACTGAACCTCAGAGGAGAGATGACATGTTTGAGGCCAGAAACTAGTGAAATAAGAATTCAATCCCAAGTCTGCCACCAAGCCTGTTTTTCCCAGTAATACCATGCTGTCTTCTACAATGAATTGATAACATTAATATTAATTTGTTGAACATTTGTTATGTAAAAAACTTTTTATTAAACACTATACATACTTCATTAAAACTTGAGGCAAATATCTTATCGATTCCATTTTACAGATGATGACACGTAGGCACAAAGACTAGGTAATAGGTAACTTGCCAAGGTCACATGGTGAGACAGCCTGAATTGGATGGGCATTTTACATAATTATGTCAGTGAATCCTTAAACAAGTACAGGATGCAGACACTGTTTTTTTCAATTTGCCCATTTAAAAACATGTTGTTAAACAGCAAAGGAAGTTTGCTTTGAGAATTTGAGAAATACATGTCTTTTCATCCTCTACCTTTAGCCAGTTGTATCTTTAAAGTTCTTTTGACTCTTTTTTTGATAGCTTCTCACTGCTGTTAGTTAAAAAAACACACAGAATACCTTCTGCCTGTAACCAAAGAAATCCGGCAAGTGGCCAGGAATAACAAGGAAATAAGCTTATTACATCGGTGATTTTCTGTGATACAGAATGTTAGGTTCACATGCTCTGGAACAGAGATAAAGGTTAGGGAGACCTTAGAGAACTGATGCTTTCTTGGCAATACATGAGCATAATTGGGGCAGCAATTTTTCTGCTATGCTAAGTGGCTGTTTTTATCCTGTTTGCCTGTTAGACATAGGCCATCTGGAAGTGAGATAACATCTTTAAAATAATCACAATAGCTTAATATTTGAGCTATTTACCATGTGCCAAGTATTGTATTATAACCAATTCATTTTTTTCTCGTATAATTTTATAAAATAGATATTATTCCATCCCATTTACTGATGAGGACCATAAGACAAAGGAGGTTTAAGCAAGCCACTTAAGGTCAGTTTTTCCTAAAATATGCTAGAGACTTCCCATGTTAAATCTTGCACTTCAATAAACTGAGGCTCAGAGAGGTGATGTGATTTACTTAGCCACGTAGCTGAGAAGTAGCAGAGTCGTCTGTCCCACTACAATCTTTCAGCCAAGTCAAGGCTGTCCCATGTTCTTCCTACCAGACCTCACTGCCTTCTTATCTGAGCCGCAACTCCACATCCCATGTGTGCAGCACCCCACCTGTGATGCCCTGATGAAAGGGAGGCAGGGACTTCCGCCTGTTGACTTCTTTCATACTTGCTCGCCGCCAGGATTGCCTTCTGTCTCGATGATGGGCAGACTGCTCTTGGGGAGACAGATGAAGAGACCTGGGCTGGAGTGCTTCCTCGTGGCTGAGTTCACAACACTCCCCCTTTTTAGGGCTACAACCAACTCGAATTCCTTCCTTTGAAACTCCTTGAGTCATCTCCAGGGAGGCAGGCGATTTATTACACACTTCCACAGGATTGGCATTTGATTCCAATGGATGATCATGAGCCTTAGATGTCACTGGTTCCTCTTCTAGCACTTGTTATAAAAAAGTCAAAATATAAAATCAAACCCACAACTGAGTATTTGTGCAAAAAAGTGGAAATAGAAGAGTGTATGCCCCAGATCATGGAGACACTGAGAAAGTACCTGTGCAAATACACGAATATGTGACTCCAGCTCCACCAGAGCCAGGAAACCATGTGAGGATAGCGAAGAAACCTGAACCCAAGGTAAAAGGTACAAAACTCACCTTCTGCAGTCTCTGATCTAGTCACTGAAGTCATCCTGGGTGGAGAAGCCTAAAATGGGAAAATGAGGTGATCTGTTCTTCACCCTTCAGCCCCAGACTCACCGGGGTTTTACTACCCAGGAATGGGCCTTGTGCTTTCCAGCCTCTCTGAACTGCCCATCTCTTTCCCAAGAAATTTACCTGGCAAGGCCCAATGTCACCTCGCCCACCACGTCCACAGAGACCATCAGCAGGGTTCATCATCTATTGTTCTGTATTTCTACAGAACTTATCACTGGAAATACTCATATCTCCCTTAACACATAATCTACTTTATTTTCCAATTATTTTGTGTCTAACTAGTCCCTAATTTCCTAACTCATGACCTACATGGTCTTCCAAACTAGAAAAATCAAATTATCCTTTACATTTTACTTTTAAAATTATCCAGATCTCAAATCCCATCCATTCTAACAGCCTCTCTACATCTTTTTAAAAAATATATATTTTATTGATTTTTTACAGAGAGGAAGAGAGAGGGATAGAGAATTAGAAACATCGATGAGAGAGAATCATTGATCAGCTGCCTCTTGTACACCCCCTACTGGGGATGTGCCCACAACCAAGGTACATGCCCTTGACCAGAATCGAACCTGGGACCTTTCAGTCCGCAGGCCAACGCTCTATCCACTGAGCCAAACCAGTTTCGGCTCTACATCTTTTTTTTTTTTTAAATATATATTTTATTGATTTTTTACAGAGAGGAAGGGAGAGGGATAGAGTGTTAGAAACATTGATAAGAGAGAAGCATTGACCAGCTGCCTCTTGCACACCCCCTACTGGGGATGTGCCTGCAACAAATGTACATGCCCTTGACTATAATCGAACCTGGAATCTTTCAGTCTGCAGACCAACTGAGCCAAATCGGCTTCGGCTCTACATCTTTTTTTAAAATTAAACTTAATTAGCGTAACATTGCTTAATGACACTATATAAGTTTCAGACACTATATAAATTTATAATCCAACATTTGTATACTCCATTGTGTGCTCAATATCAGAAGTCATCTTCTGTCACTATACAGGGTGGGGCAAAAGTAGGTTTACAGTTGTAAAAAAACAAACAAAACAGTACAATAGGTAATGCAAGAACAAACTCTGCTCTCATGCTCACAACTAAAAACCTACTTTTGCTCCACCTTTTATATTTGACCCACTTTACCCTCTGTCTTTGCCCCACCTTCCTTCTCCTCTGGTAACCACCACTCTTTGGCCTGCATCTATGAGTTTGTCTCTAAATCTTTTCTCCATTTCCACTTCCTAGTTTAGTTCAGGACTCACAACCTCCCCCACCTCCCACCCCATCCACCCAGTAATCCTGTCCACTGGTTTTCCTATATCCAGCACTGCTCCTCTCCTAGCCATTCTTTAGACAGCAGCAGCGATTTTTCCAACGCATTCAGCATTAGAAAATAGCGTATTTTTCATACGCTATTCCCAACCTACCCATGTCTGCTTTCCTGCTAGCCCACATCCTGCCACCACGTTTGAATCTTTGCATATACAGCCTGTAAAACGGATTCATCCTTCCCAACCTAGCTCAAAAGTTAAGCTTTCACACCACTTCTCTTTCCTAGCAAGGGGCTGTAACGTCTGTTTACATGTCGGTCGCCCCAGACGCACTGTCTCTGTATTCCTAGTGCATGTCAGCAAGGACGGATCGGAAGACAGCAGGGACCAGGCTGAGGCATCTCTACATTGGCCGTGCTTACCCCTCACTCCCAGCGGAAATCTGTACGGGGAGGGGCGCGAGGGGAAGGGGGGAAGGGTAGTGCTAAGTAAAGAGAAATGAATATATCTGGAGGGACGACACAGATATAGGCCATGGACCTACATCCCCGCAGTTATAACAATCACGGATTCAAGCCTGGAAATAACAGCAACTGTCATTGGGTAAGCTGCTTGTTAAACCCTTATTATATGCCAGGACCTATGTTATCTGTGACCGCTTTATTTCCATCATTATCTCTTTACCCCATTTAATCCTTTGCACAGCTCCATAAGAACCGTCGTCCTTCCCTCCTAGCAGATAGAGGAACTGAGGTTCGGAGAGCAAAAGCCTGCCTGGGGACAGAGGCGGAATTCGGTGACCCACCCCAAACCGAGACCGCTGGCTCTGCACAGGCCAAGGGAGAGGCGCGATCATGCTTAGGTTTGCTCTCACCCAGGAGGCCGCGGCGCCTCGGGGCACCCCCAGTGTCCGCTGTCGGAGGGGAGCGGCGCCCGGCCAGGACTGGGTCGAGGTCCGACGCCAAAAGGGCCGGTGCGAGAGTGAGGGGGGCCGTGTCCGGGGAAAGGTATGCAACTTCCTGACCTCAGAGCGACACCCGTTCAGTCCGAAGCCTCCGTTCTTAATACAGGACGGCAGGTCCCTCTCCGCGGCCCCGCGTCAGTCCCGGGCCCCCTGTACCTCTGATTTCAGGTCTAGGTCCGGGGCGCCTTGCACGGACCACGCCCCGCGCCACTGCGGCCGCCGCCTCCGAAATCTCCCGCCAACTCAGAGCGCATGCGCGGCCGGGGCCCGGCGGCTCGGGCTCAATTACGCGCACGCGCAGCGCCTGCCTCCTTCAAGGCGCACGCGTACACTGGTATTTACCCTCTGGCGAGCCCCGCCTCCGCCGCAGCTTTCTCCGCCCGGAAGTGGCCACGTTACTGTCTCCCTGCGCTGCCACGCCCGGAGAGGCCCCTCGGGGGGACCTGCCACTGCGTCCTGACCTTTTGCGCCCCGCGGCCCAGAACCCATCTCAGATGGGGAAACTGGGTCCTAGAGGTGACTAGACGTCCCGATTTTTAACAGTTTGTCCCGCGTCCCGCAGCGTTTTAAAAAAGTCCCGATATTTGGAAAAAATTTCTGATTAGTGATGTTGAGCATTTTTTTTTTTTCTTGTCTCTTGGCCATCTGTATGTGCTCTTTGGAAAAGTGTTTATTCAGGTCCTTTGCCCATTAAAATGTGGACTGTCTCCCAGGGAAGACTGGAGCTATGAACTGTTTGCTTCATTCTTTTCTTCTACTCCTGCGTTAGCACCTTTTCTCCTCTGCGGCCCTTTCAATATATGGCAAAGTTCAAGAACGCTGTTTTGCAGTCTCATTGCAGGATACTCTTTCCTCAATTGCCTGATGCTCCTCTGCCCACTCCGATAGCCTAAAAAAAAATTTTTTTTTCTTATTTGTTGATTTGAGAGAGAGGAAGAGGAAGGAGAGGAACATTGATTTGTTGTTCCACTTTTTATACATTCATTGGTTGATTCTTTTTTATTTTATATTTTATTGATTTTTTACAGAGAAGAAGAGAGGGATAGTTAGAAACATCGATCAGCTGCCTCTTGCACACCCCCAACTGCGGATGTGCCCCCAACCAAGGTACATACTCTTGACCGGAATCAAACCTGGGACGTTTCAGTCTGCAGGCCGACGCTCTATCCACTGAGCCAAACCAGTTTCGGTGGTCTATTCTTGATTGAACCCATAACTTTGGGGTTGTCCAGACCCCATAACTCAGTTGCTTGTTCTAACCAACCGAGTAACCCCGCCAGGGCTCCCATAGCTTCTTGCCTCTGCTCCTTTGATTGCCATTCCTTCTACCTGGGAAGACTTTCCCTACTTTTTTCTGGAAATTTTCTCTAATTTTAACTCTAAGCTGAGGATTCATCTGTTAGAGTCTTCTCTAAGGTCCTAAGCTGAGAACCAGATGTCCCTTCTGTACTCCCAAGAGCCCAGCCTGTGCCTTTTTCATTATTCTTGTTGGCCCCAAAAAGCAGGCTGCTTCCTCAGTACCAGGTATGATGCCATGAAAAATGTCTTCCTGCATGTATGGTCCTTACAGATCTGCAATCTCTAATTGTTGTATTATGAGCAGTCCACAAAGTCTGAACGAGAGGTCAGGGAGTGGCAACAGGAGCATGACTGGTCATCCTTCCATAGCAGCTGTTGTACTTGGAATGTTTTTTCTTTTTTTCTTTTTTTAATGTATTTTATTGATTTTTTACAGAGAGGAAGGAAGAGAGATTGAGAGCTAGAAATGTCGATGAGAGAGAAACATCGACCAGCTGCCTCCTGCACACCCCCTACCAGGGATGTGCCCGCAGCCAAGTACATGCCCTTGACCGGAATCGAACCTGGGACCCTTCAGTCTGCAGGCCAGCGCTCTATCCACTGAACTAAACCCGTTTTGGCTGGAATGTTTTTTCTGATGAGAGGCAGAATCCTGCCTTCTTGAAATTCCTACCATGTGTTTTTAGCCTGCTGGCTCCAACAGCCATCTGAAAGCAAAGATTTGTCCTGGCCAGTGTGGCTCAGTGGTTGAGCAATGATTTGTGACACAGGAGGTCATGATTTGACTCCCAGTTGGGGCACATGCCTGGGTTGTGGGCTCTGTTCCGAGTGTAGAGTGTGCGCGAGGCACTTGATCAATGATTTTCTCTCATCATTGATGTTTCTATCTCTCTCTGCCTCTCCTTTCCTCTCTGAAATCAATAAAAATATTTTTAAAAAAATAAAATGAAAGCAGGGATATGCTCTTGGTTCCCTGAATAACACTTGCTGAGAGTCAATGGTACCCAGTTCCTTCTGTGTCCATCTACTCTTCCAACTCCTCATTTGCCAACATCCCAAGAACAGAACACAGTGTTCTTTTTCTTTTAAGTACATTTTTATTGATTTCAGAGAGGAAGAGAGAGGGGTAGAAGCATCAAGGATGAGAGAGAAGCATTAATTGGCTGCCTCCTGTAGGTCCCCTACTGGGGACTGAACTAGCAATCTGGGTACGTGTCCTTGACCCAAATCGAACCCTGGACCCTTCAGTCTGCGACTGACACTCTATCCACTGAGCCAAACAAGGTAGGGCCAGAACACTGTTCTGATCCAGAGCTGGTCATCCTGGAGTACAGTGAGAATATAGCTTACTGGAATCCAGATCCAATACTTTCTCTGTCTCCTTTCCCTGCTCTCAATTCTTCTACAGCTCCCTAATGTCTACAAATGTGGACATTTGTCCCCTCATAAGGCACTGTGTGACCAAAGATTCTTTTATTGTTACCCTTTCCAGTGACATAAAACTTCTTACAGTTCCCCAGTTCTGCTCTGTTCTTTCTACTAGGCTTTCACATATGCTGTTCCCTCTCCCGGGAACCATCTCTCCTCATCTCTTGCCTACAACACACCACCATCTCAACCTTCAAATGTCCTGTCCTCTGATAAGCCTTTCCTGATTCCTCCAGGCTTCCTGAGTGCCCTGTGATTGACATCTGCTTTCCTGTCTTCTAGGCCCATCTCTTGCATTCTCACTGCCTAGCACAGGCTGTTTGTTGTTAGATCCTCAAAACAATTTTTGCAGTCAGCTTCCAAGATGGCTCTCACTGGCCTCTGCTTCCTTGTGTTCATGCCTAGTGTAGTCCTCTCCCGCACTGCATAGGGTTAATCTGTTTAACCAACAGGACATTGCAGAAATGATAACGTGATTTTCAAGGTTTAGTCATAAAAGACATTGTGATTGCTACCCTGCTCTCTCAAAGATCACTCACTCAGGGAAGCTAGCCACCATGTTGTGAGGATACTCAAGCAGCCTCGTGGAGAAGTCCACATGAGAAGGAACTGAGACCTCCTGCCAACAGCAAACACTGACTTGCCAGGCATATGAGCCACCTTACAAATGGATCTTCCTGTCCTCGTCAAGCCTCACATGACAGCAGCCTGATTGACATGAGACCCTGAGTCACAATTACTCAGCTCCTGAATTCCTAACCCACAGCATCTGTGACATAATGAATGCTTTGGAATAATTAATTATACTGTACTAGATAATTAACACATTTCTAAAGTGTCCTTTTTTTCCCCATGATAATTTTTAAGTCTTTTGTAGAAAAGTTCAATTCCACTTTTGAGCACTCTGCATGTTCGTTCAGTGGTCACATCCCATTTCATGGGAGACTCTGAGATGTCTGCAGTCAGCAGCCGGGAACACCTGGTGGCCCCTCCCAAGTGGCCCCAAACCAGCCCGCTGGCTGTGGCATTCCCAGGGATCCTTACTTTCCAGACAACTAGGGGCAAGCTACAGTCAGGTTTCAAATGTGCTGGGGGCTCCACCCATCCCCCAAGAAAAATCAGAGGAAAATCCATGGAAGCTGTTCATATGACATACTTTATTTCCAATCTACAACCATTAAAAACCCTCTGTAAGTTTACACTGTACAGTTATTCTGTCTGAAATAAGACACAGGGGCAGGGAGAGCTGGTGGGTTGGAGACCACAGTCATCCTAGCACCCAATCCATCCTGGAAAGGAGCCTTAAAAGACAGGAGTGAGCAGAAGAGAACAGTGGACAGGAGAGGCAGACAGTTTGGCCAAGGTTTCTTTCCCTGGACCCTCGACTGCAGGACCCTCACCAGAAAACCAGGCTGGGCAGTACTGGCAGGAGTTGGGAGGGGCAGGATGGGAAGGAAGGACAGCTTCTGGGTCTCTTCCCCAGTCACTGGGGGTTGGAGCTGTTTTTTGGCACAATCTGCAAGATCTCCTTGGAGGTGGGAGGAGGAGCTGGGGATTTAGGATTCTTTTCTTGAGTTAGTCTTTCTTTCCATTTGAAGAGGGGCCGTGAGCCTCTGATGAGGTTCCCAAGGGATAAATGGTCAGGGTCTTTTCTCCTCCTGCCCCAAAGACTGCCCACCCCCGCCTGGTTTGTACAACCTACATAACCTTTTATAAAACCCAGGCAAGTGGGAGAGGTGAGCAAAGCTGGAACCAAGCCAGGGGCAGGAAAAGGAAAAACGTGTGCCTTCTCCCTGCCCTCCAGCTTCCAGGGAGGACATGGGTTTTGTTGGGGTGGGGTTGGGGGGCAGGTGGGGAGAGTTCCCAGTCTCTCAGGAACCTCGAGTTGGTGTTTCCCACCTGTTTCTGGTCTGGGCCAGCCTCAGTCCCTCACCAGGCTGCACTAATTGCTAGTATAGGTCAGCAGTTGGCAAACTCCTGTTTTATCAGAATTATCCGGAGGGCCTTGCTTGCTGGGCCCCAGCCCAGAAGTTCAAATTAGGTAGGTCTTGGGTGGTCCAATACTTTGCATTTCTATCAAGTTTCCAGGTGATGTTCTTGCTGCTTTGAGAACCCCTGGGTACCCCGTCCACAGCAACCTGGCAAGGCCCAACCTCAGAGGCACCAAATGCCTCGCAAGCTGCTAGGAATCGTCTTGTAGTGAATCCCCTGTGCAGAGAAGTAAACTAAGGCACAGAGATCAGGGGTTAAGCTGAGAGAGGAGCCAGGATACCAGGGTCCAGTGAAGAGAGGGTGGGGATGCAGGACCCCAAAACATGAGGGGTGCCCTAAGGCCCCAGGGATCATCCTAGTTTTCAACATTATACAACCAGCTAAACTCAGGGAAGTTAAGAGGTCTGCCCAGACCTGAGGCAAGTCTCAGACTCCTGACTGAGGTTTCTCCTCATGGAAGCAGTTTGAGACATGTCAGAATGGAGTGTGACAAGGCAGCCAGGCCTGATTACCTTGGCCCTTCAAGGATGCT